AATTCTGTGCTGGCTGGGGAATTCTGGGAGTTGAAGTCCACTTCTCATAAAGTTGCCAAGGTTGAGAAATGCTGGTCTAAAGCAAAGTGAGTGAAGGAAGGAGACAGAGCAGGTCATAAGTAGAGCAATAGAAATGTCAGTGGAAAACTGGGAGGATAGGAGTAGGAGAGAAACAGGAATCTAGGCCACGGTGGATCTAATAAGAGAGAGGAAGGCACAGGCTTCATCTGACCTAGCATAAACTCCTACTAGGTCCTAGACCTAGCCTATAATTATACTTGTAGAAAGCTGCCTCCACATCTGGCCGCCTTAGAACAATTCACCCACTGCTTTGCCACAATTAGGCGAAAGGGCCACTGCAATCTTAATTAGTAGCTTTCTTTCCCTTTTACAGTGTATGAATGAAGAGACCACTCCAAAGTGCTGCCAAGAGCTATAAGATCAGAGCAGGCTAAACATGTATTCACAAAGAGTCGAATAAATAAAAGGAGCAAACAAATGTATAAATAATCCTGGAACGGGGTCGACCAGGAAGCGCTAAACGAGGCAGAAGCTTTTATTTCAAGGTGCAATAGTCCTTCTGTGGCATTTTCCTAATCCAATTTGGATAACAAATTGGAGCTGCCCCTATATTTAATCACAAACCCCTGGAAAAACATTTTTGGGAAAATGGGGGAGGCAAAGTAAGAAAAACAACACAGTTTGGCATTTAGTAACTAAACCAGAGGCTCCACGTTGCCTGCAAGATATAGGAGAACAATGGATGGGGATCGCTGGCAAAGAGACAAGTGATTTTTAGTTGCTAGCTACCCTGTTCCTCTTTCATGAAGCTCCCTTGCATATTACTCACGACCTTTCAAGAAAGTGGGGGGGCAAAGTCTGCTACAGGACCAGCATTTCTCAACCTTGGCAGCTTGAAGATGGGTGGACTTCAACTCCCAGAATTCCCCCCCCCCACCAGCCTGGCGTGGGGATTTTGGGAGGGTGAGGCCCCCCTCCTTTAAACGGCCCCGGTGTGGGAAAGTGGGGCTCTTGTGGA